ACAGTAACAGTCCGTGATTGGCCTATTTGGTGGATTCTGCCCTGCTAATTAAAACAGTCACAACACATTAACATGCATCAAGGAGTTTCAACAAAACTCCTTGCAAGCATTGACCATACAGCCTGGTGGCACACTTGATGCATATCAACATAAACAGTTTCAAATTAAAATAAAAAACAAGTATTTGCCGAAAAGGCTCCAGCAGAAGCCTCCACGGCAGCGGGGAGGGAAACTGAGGAATCAGAGTGGACCATTGTCTACCCTAAAACTAAAAAAAGCGGACACAAAAACAAAAAGATAGAGAGACCTAGACCCATACTGTTAGAAAATTTGCCTAGGCACCTGAATGACAATGCAAGGTGTATAAAAAAGAAATAAACACTGAACAAAAACGCATATCAATAGACAATGCTACAAAAGTGAATGTGACAGAGTCTATCAAATTGGCTATATGCCTAGCTAAATTACTCATTAAAATGACATCAAAAAGACTAAAGATACAGGCAAACGAAAGCGTCATATGCAAAGACATAGCAGAAGCCGTAGCCTCCATTTACAAGGTCAACATAGATGGTGAAACTATCATGTACAACTATATGACAAAACAGGTCAAAGAAGCCATCAAAAAAGAAAAACAAAAAGCTTGGGAAACCGCTACCTCTATGCTTAATGAAAAAAAAAAAATGGACAAAACCTTCTGGGACATCTTTAAGAGGCTAACTAGCATTGGCAAAGCAAAAGAAACATCTGAAAAGCCTGTACTCAAAGAAAATGGACAACTTACAACAAACGATGCGGAGAAAGCAAATGCATTTGCAAATGCCCTTGGCAAGATACATAACACCCACGAGGGGGTCATATTCAATGATACATTTAAGGCAGTGGTGGAAACTACGTAGTTAAAAACAAATTTGATCCCTTAACTAGCCCGACACTAGAAGAAGGGGACGATCATAAAATTCTAAACAAAATCACAATAGAGGAAATCCACCAAAATCTCAAAAACAAAAAACCCGTCGTCGGGTGATGACGAAATAACAAACAGGATAATTAAGAAAACGCCTGAATGTCTAAAAAACAAACTATGCGACATTTATAACAGCTGTCTGCAGTTGGGATATTTCCCCACAATATGGAAAAAAGCAACTGGTATAATGATACCCAAACCCTACATGAGCAAGAAGGAAGGAATGGAGCATGTGCTCAGATTAGCAGAATGTGCACAACTGGCAATAAACAAAAGCTGGGTTACGGGTGCTGTTGTGCTAGATGTGGAAAAGGCTTTCGACTCAGTCTGGCATGCTGGGTTATGGTACAAGCTAGCAAATAGCAACCTGCCAGTCAAGATTGTTCGCTTGCTGTCATCTTTTTTGAACGACAGAAAGATCAAGGTCAAAATCAAGAGCGAGGTATCCAAATATGTAAGCCTTAATGCTGGCACGCCTCAGGGGGTCTGTAATCAGCCCGTTGCTATTCCTAATATATGTGAACGACCTACCAATAAACCCAAGATACAACACCGAGGTCTCTCAATTTGCGGACGACTTAGGCATGTGGACATCATGTAAAAATGTCAAAAGCATAGAAACCAGACTGACGGGTGTGATAAAGGATCTCGAACTATGGTGCTCTCTATGGCGGATAAAACTAAACACCAAGAAAACACAATTAATCATCTTTTCAAAATCAAATCAACAACCTAAGCTTAACCTCATACTTTTTGGCGACCGTTTAGAAACATGTGAGGAAGTAACACTGCTAGGAATCACCTTTGATAGGAAACTATCATTTAAAAAACACGTCGACAATATAGTGAAAAGAGCCAGGAAAAGAACTGGCCTTCTTATCAGACTGAGAGGTACAAACTGGGGGGCTTCGAGTGCCTGCCTCATAAAATTATACAAATCATTCATTCGACCCGCAATCGAATATGGCGCGGTCATACTAGCGGCTACCAAAAAAACGAGGCTTAACAATCTACAAAAAATTCAAAATAGACCGCTACGCATAGCACTCAAACTTCCTATGAGTACCCGAATTACAACTCTGCATGAGCTGGCCAACATTGAATATACCGGGTATATCAAGCACACTATTTTTTTTGGCAGCAAAAAAAAAAACAATCAGCAGGTTTGAAAATAACCTATTTAAAGAACTAAAGCTGAAAAACACAATACTAAGCAAACCAGGCAAAAATACTACCCTTGACTTATATAAATAATTATACAGATCGTGCACGAAAATCTTGGCGGATTCGGTCTCCCGACGACCGGAGAAAATACAACTGGCCCTGAAAAGGGCAACACCAATTCAAAATTAAGGAAAGAATCCGGTCACCCGACGACCGGAGACAAGGTGAAAGAATTGGAATAACCATAGCGGAAGGAAAGAAAAAGAAAAAAATCATCTGGAAAAAATACACAAGCTGGAGGGGCGGCCAGCATAAGAGGAAGGGATTTAAAAAAATTCAAGCCACCCAAGTAACACCACGGACAGACGTGCAACAGCAATAGAGGCAGAAGACAATATACAAGAACTCGGGGATTGTATGAGGCTCTTGCATCACGATGCATGAGACCTCGTAACTTTCCCGCAACGGCTCCGCCGATGCAAACTTATACTACTACTGTTTCCAGTATTCCCTTGTAGAATACTTATCAGAACATAAACCGGACGTGGTTTAAATGAGTCCTTCACAGGATTTGATACGACCAGAAAAGATGGAGACTCAAGAGGAGGGTGTGAGGCCATTCTAATTAGAAAAGACTTACCGCACCACGATATAAACACCGACAATCTGACTGCAGAAGTAGTGGGCATTGAGACCAATGTACAAAAGTGAAAAACTGCTATTGTCGCTATTTATAACCCACAGAATACTTGTCCAAACAAGGAAACAGTTTCTTCGCAAATCAATATACACACCGTCTCTTTATTGGAGATTTCAACAGCAAGTTTATGTATTTCGGATGCAAAGATTCTAATGAAAATGAACATAAACTGTTCGACATATAAAGTGAAGATCTTGAGTTGACAATACTCAATGACATCAACGAAACAACACACAATTTTACCATGATATTCTTTCATTCTGTTCATACTGATCAAGATATCAAATTTTCGTAATAGATTATTTCATGAGCACTGTCAGTTTACTTAACTATGCTAAGGATTTAGGTTTCACACTAACAGCATTTTCAAGTAATGAATGATTGTTTAGTTGGTAAAAAGATTTTGCTTTGAGAAATGACTCCTCTCCTTGAAAGGGATCTTGTCTGATCAGTTTATGATTGCATTGAATGATATGTTCAACGAAATTAATTTTGTTATAAGGCAGTCATTGGTTATGTGAAGAATAGTAGTAGCTTAGAGGCTTGAAATTTCACGATATTCTCTTATTATGTAAAGATTGTTTTGCAACAGGTAAGAGTCTACTATTAATAGATAGATTCACCCTACGCAAGCAGATTTTTTTACTAATTGCTGATGACGATGCATTGTACCCAACTCAACTCGCTGACATAGCACAAAGCTGACTGGATTAGGATTAGGCTGACCTAGGCTCTACATTTCGGTATTGTCAACTTGATTTCATATATATAACCTATAAAGGTATAGTGAGCAAGCTAGCTTTACTGTGCCCTTACACTCAGGGTAGATTAGGCCTGCATCATCTATCTATCTATCTATCTATCTATCTATCTATATATATATATATATATATATATATATATATATATATATATATATATATATATATATATATATTTGCTTATACACGAGGGACTTGTTTGCCTAAGAAATTTGATTAAAAGGTATACCTAAAATAATAAGTTAAACATTAATTTGACATAATATGCTGTTTCAAGACATACAAGGTAACTGTATAATATGGATTTTGTTTTTATTCGGGGGTGGGGGTGTTAACATAGTGGCCAGAAGACGTATAATCATTGACCTTATTGGCATAGCTTTTCACTGATATTTGTTGGTCCTGAAAAGAAGAGAGAGCGTGCTTAAATTCTGCATTTACTCTCAACAAAACGGTCCTTTTCAGGACCACTACAAATCAGAAAAGCTAAACCATTAGTGCTGGCATTGTCCACCCTAATTTGCCTTCATAATTTTTTTAGAAATAAAGTTGATGATAAGGTAGTCAATAGCTGATAATGCATTTGGAAGAATTGCAATGCTCAATTATCCCTTATCATTGCGCTGATGAACTCACATTATAATTATTAATTGATTTAACTTCAAGATTCCTACCCCTGCTCTTCATGGGAAGACAAGTAATGTGTATTTGTGTGTAAATGGGTAGCAACGAAGCCGGTTTTCTGATTGCAAAGGAATGTCAATGAGCACTTAAATAGGTCCTGTAAAATGGGATTTTAGTGGAATCTTCCGCTTAACACCAAAACCCAATTTAGCAGACATGAGCTTTTTCTACAGAAACGTGGAATTCAACTTTTTTAAATTTAATTCTAAGGCAGTCCTGGACCCCAAGGTCTGTTAAGTGTTGGGTTCCATTATATATGTTCAAATTTTTTTTTTCTTTTGAAACCCAGGCTCATGTCTGATTAATTAATATATTGATAATTGACAACATCCCATGATGATAATTGCAAAACAAAATACTGTAATATACAATTATCTTAAATGTTAACCCCTATAGTTAAAACTTTTTTTATTACATGATTCACTGAAAACAGTTTTGCAAAAATTAGTTGACTGGGTATTAATCCATGAGTTTCAAATATCTGATCCACATTGCAAAAACAAAGTTGTTCCAGTGGCAACTGTATCAATTTTATTAAGAAACAGAATGCCATACAGTATCCCAACAGCAGCACTGAAAATTAGGCTGTATTCCCAGAGCTTTTAGATCAATCTATCCCCACGGGGAGTCTCACTAGATTACTGTCAGATAATCCGGCTTAAATGTCCGTCCCGCCTACTACAAGCTGTAAGGGGGTAATTAACTTTCATGTCCGCTCGGCTGACAGCTATTTAGCGTGAACCCCCAGGGAGTTAGGTCTATCTAAAGTAGATCGATCTAATCTCTGGAAATGGGGTCTGAGTCTTCCTGGTTTAGTTGTTCTAGTTTGTCAGATTTTTCTGCTGCCTCTTCTCCCCAAAGCCAGGCCCAGACCGTTGCTCCTTTCCACCTTAGAAGTTCTATCAAAATCTGAAGTTGTTAAATGTAAAAAGTTAAATTCATTTCATGAACTAGAGGATCAGAGAGCCAATACCGCCTCTGGATATTGTACCACCAGCTGGAGTAAGCTCATTCGTATGGAAAACCCAAAAAAAAAAAGGAACACCACTACCAATGACAAGCTCCATAAAATGCAATAAACAAGAATTCTCAAAATATCCAAGAAAAAAAAAATTTTTAAATATATATATATATATATATATATATATATATATATATATATATATATATATAAAATCAAGGATACGAATAAATTAGACTTTTCTGTCCATTTTATTTAAAAATGCCCTACGGCCGTTTCGGCCCTGAGGCCTCATCATGGGCGAAAACAAAACAAAATACAAAAAAGACTCTGGTAATAAACGGTCAGTGTAAGACGTCGCACTCAGAATATTCACGTGTGACGTTACGTCGCATGTATAGGTGACAAAAGAATGTGGTTACATTACATAATAAAATAATGTGGCTACATAAGCAACTTTTCAAAATTAGTACACATAGTCAATGTTATTCAATAAATATATATATATATATATATATATATATATATATATATATATATATATATATATATATTTTTTTTTTTTTTTTAAAGTATAAATCTAGATTCTGAATACTGAAAAAAAATTTATTTCATGAATGCAACTTTATCACTGTATGTACCAGGGTATGTACCATGCTTTGTCATGAACACTTTCCTATATGTAGTAATGAGCATGGAGAATAATCGTTGCAATGCATGATGAGGCACTGAACAGTAAAATGGGTGGGAGAAGACTTGCCAAGCACTGTTATTCAATTTCGTAGTACATTGAAAATCAACATTTATCCAAAAGATTATTCCAGTCAAGGTTTCAAGCTTACCTCCGAAGCAATCAAAATTATGATAATCCACTCCAAGCGGGCTCCATGTTGGTGAGTCAGTGCTTCCTGGATATTGTCCATAAGATCAATGCACAAAGAAAGTTTACTTTTCATCACCTAAAATAAAATCAAATGGATGTGAAAATGAAACTATATTTTATCACACAAATTAATGAAATCAGTATTTGAAATCTACTACATAATAATAATAATAATAATAATAATAATAATAATAATAATATTTACATAGTAGATTTCAAATACTGATTTCATTAATTAATAAAATAATGAAAAAGAGAAACAAGGTTTCAACAACTATATCCTGTAGAAAATAAATTACAAATTCTATTCTAGTACAGGATATATAATATATTACAATAATTTATAACAATCTAGGCAAAGCCAAATAGTGAAAATTAACCAATAACCAAGCTAAAAGAAAAAAAAATATGCATGTAGAGCTAAATCTAATTATTGTTAGATTCATTGAAAATGGTAAAAACTGTCATATATTAACATGAAAATCTATTAATAAGAATGAAAATAAAATTTGTCATGTGGCAAAATGAGCTTACATCCACCCTGTTCTTGAGTTCCAAATGCCTCCTGACATTATCAAACAAACCTTCCAGTTCTTCTCTATTCCAGAAAAACTCTGGAGTCTCCATGTATTCTGACTCCAATAAGACTCTATGTCTGAAATAAACAATTTTAGTAAAATTTTAGTCATTCAGTCTGATAATGTATTATGACACTTGTCTTAGAGGCAGAGGATATTGTAGTGAATGCTACAAGAACATCATAAGTATATTTCTAATTCTGCTTGATTTACTTACTTAAAATTCTGTATATATGTGACTGTGGTGAATTTTTGTACTCTTAATAATGTGGTTATTTGCATTCATTGATCACTGAAATATTCTAATAATCATTAGCATTTATAAAAACTGTTAGGTTACTTTTTAACATTGCCCTTCCCTCATGATAAAATTGTAAAGTTAATACTTTGACTAAGTTATTATAACTAGGTTCTAAAGATGCACAAGAAAAACTGCAGTATAATGTTTATACCTCAAGTCATATAGTTCTCCAATATACCGGACTGCTTGTCTCGGCTCAGTTGTCATCTTCCCTTTGGTTTTCATATCCTGAAGAAAAGACAGGAATTTTAATGAAATTCACAATGCAATATTGATTTTAAGCACATTCTCTGTAAGCAATTAAATCAGAAGACTTGCATGGTGATCTGTTGGGTTGCATGTCTATGTGTGCCTAAAATTACACCATTTGTATTAAGATGATAATGATATTTTCTTTATAAATAAGATGTTAAACAATAGATCTATATGTACGTCTTTGGAGTCTGAAGTAAAATGTTGTCTACCTTGCATCTAATCAAATTCTATGTCAAAGATTTGCATTAATCATAAATATTTATCTTACCTCTGGAATGTATGCCAATTTTTCAATAAATTTCTGTAGTTGTGTTTCACAGTAATCTAACTGAACTGAAAATGCAGTAAAGGCACATGTACTCCCAGTAATCTGCATTTCTGTTGAAGCAGCAATAAGTTCTTCATTACAGACATCAAATTACACCTATTATAAAAATCACTTTTGTCCTTAAATCCATACGATCCTTTATATATTTCATATCATTATTATAGTAGTTAGATAACTAATATTATTTGATAAATTTTGATAATTTGATAAATTTTATAATTTTAATCTAGAACAAGAGTCAAATTTACCAGCCAGCATCAAACCATGTGAAATGGCAAACTTCTCCAAAAGAAGCTGTTCTTTATTTTCTTTATTTTGAGGTGGGATGCGAATGTTTCCTGACCGCAAAGAAACCTCTGTAGCACTGTCATTTACATGGAAATGGTTTTGATCAAAACATAACTTATGATTTTTTTTAGTTTCAATTTCATGGAAGTTAAAAATTATAAGAACTTCATCTTTAGGCACCAAATTAAAATTTAAATTTTGTATATCTTTTAAAACATTAAATATTAGTACTTGCTTTATTTTTGTCTACAAACTGTTTATAGAACAGAAGAATAAAATAAATGGAAGAATTGTTTGTATCCTTACCTTTCTTCAATGTAAAATCCCATGAATTCACCTTCCATATCATAATCACTATACTTTTGGACAGTTAGAGATTCTAAAGTCTCAATAATACGTTTTTGCTTGAAAAAGAGAAACCATCTCATTAATGCAATTTTAAGCAATAACCATCATTTATAAAACAGGTGATGCAAAATTCAAAACAATAAATGTACTGAGAGAGAAAAAAAATGGAGGTATACTACACCTATGTATAAATCTGAAAATGTCCAAAAGTCATATTTTCATTGTCTTCGATGATATATGTATAACATTACTAAAAAGGCATATGGGCGAATTTTGGATATCAAAATAAAACAGGTTTTGGATTTGATAAGCAGTAGAAGACAAAATCTTATAATGCTGACAGGTGGAAATTAATTATTGCCAGGGCCACAAACATTCAAAAGTCTTCAGAAAAACAGTATTTTAGGTACAGTGCTTTGCATGAAAGATACATTGAGGTTAAAGCAATACAGAGAGAAGCACTGAAAGTGAGACAGTGATCCGTTTCCTGGGCCAATTTAAAGCAATTTTTTCCTCTCTGCCTCTCATACATATTTGTGACATGTAAAAAGTAATCAAAATCCATTTCCTGGAATATTTTAGACCAATAATTTGCCCACACACCCAAAATATATGAATAAATAAAACTCCACTTACAGAAGGATCTTCAACATTCCAAAACACAACTGCGCCTTTCCTAGAGGAATAAAAAAAAATGCAAAATGGTTCACAAACGTGATAGCAAAACAAATACAAACAACGTTCTACTTCTAAACTTTACAATATTACCTCGTTTCACTTTGTTTAGCAGAGACCAACATTATGATTTACTGTTGAAGTTCTAAATTTTTCATTATTGATCCTAGTGAGTTTTACAGTAAAATTTTCCTAAGTTAATGTAGAGCCATATATATATACTGTACTGAGTACAGAGGCTTCTCTGCAATATGTTTATAAATTAATGAAGAATATAAGATAGATAAGAATCCAACATCTGTATATTTAAAGTGTAAAATATACTTGCTCAAATACAAAAAATTCTCTGGGAATTTGAGGAACTACAGTTTGATAAATAAATGTCGAATGTACAGCTGCGGCATCTGTAAGGCAGAAAACATGAGCAAGGTAAATATCACATGCTTATACACTCTTGAAACCAATTTGAAAATTTATCAATTAAAATTGAATATAAACATTTTATAATATGTAATAATAAATAAGGGAACACCAGTGTATAGTTCAGAAGACAAATGTCTGTAATATACGTTACCAGTGGGCAACTGTGAAACCTTATAAAGTCCAGTCTTCTCAAGTGCTGTTGTGACACTCTCCAGACTTTTAAATTCTTCCGCTAATGCAAAGGCTTGAATAGAAAAATCTTGCTAAAAATAAAGTGATATTTTTTTAGTATACAGCAATACAATTAAATGAAAACTTATATTCAATTTGTAGCCCTATTCTTGTACGTACTCTTGTGTTTGTATACAGTACACAATTTCAAAAATATATAAAATTTCGGTATTTTCAGATACATACCACCTTTCTCTTCCTCTTTTTTCTTAATCCAGTTGGATTAACTTGGTTAGCAGTAGATTGTGGGGAGTTTTCCCTTATATGTGTGGTAAACAGCGACCTTTCTTGGAATGAAAAGCAATCCGGAATAAAGACATTATGCCTTTTTTCCCCACACTTTGATAGCCCTTGTTGGGAACTATAAAAAACTGCTGGGAAAGCATAACTTTTGTTCCTGAATTGTTTTTGAAACAGACAGTGCATTTGCCTGGAAAGCTGTGGACTTTTCCATCCAGTTGCTGTGAAATTCACTGTCTGCTTTGCACTGAGAACAAGACTAACTGCCTGAAAATCCCTCTTGGTGATGTTTTCTACAAATCTTGTGTAAGCTTTCCACATTTTTTATTATATGATGATACTGTTATATCCTATACGAGAAAGAAATCTGAAAATAAAAAACATGACACCCCGTATCGGTAAGTACTCCCTTTCTTATTTTAATTTATTTGATTTGACATAATACAGCTCAACATTAGTCGACTTAGCCCAGTTAAAGATTTTACACGTATGTTAATATAAGCTCAAACATCTTACCGTACATCAGTTTTTTAGCCGTACAACGGTACATGGTAGGGACCTTGAGCTGCATGTAATTGGTACCTTTCCTGTACCTGTACATAACAAATTAACGTTACTTACTTACAGTGTCATTCCTGCATAATCTGACTTATGTAATAAATACGGTCTAATGATAAACGATTTATAAAAATAAAAACGATCAGAGCAGCGGCACTCAGCACGCTGACCGGAAATATGATCCGTCTTGTCACACGGTTCTTTTTTGTATCGGAGTGCAGCAGGTGACCATACTTACCACGTGAATTATTCCTTTGCTATTAGTGCATCGGGATCTTAAGTTTACTGGGGGTCATACCATCATTTCATTCTAATTAAGTAAGTATGCAAGTGTCGCTTTCATCTTTTAACATAGAGTTTGCCCCTTTTTATTCAACCTTTTAAAAATCAACTTGGTTAACGCTTCTCGATCTCTACAGTTTTTCTCCCTCTTTCTCTACTCAGTTGTCGGTTTTTGTTCATATCCTAGGTACTTAAAGCAGGTATGTAACGCCTAAAACTGAGACAATCACGGCATTATTTTCCTCTCACCAGGTTACATTGATTTTGAAGGTGCTATAAATGGCAAAGTAAGTACATGACCAGGAGTAAATAACGTTTTTTTTTTTCAAGGAAAATTTAATTCAGCAGGAAAAACCCTGGATGAGATACCTTTAAAATCCATGCTGTTATTTGAAAATGACTCTTGATTGTTTTGTATTTTTGCTGGCTGGTGCAAGGCAATGCTGAATAGCAACCATCAGAAATTATTCTGCAGCTGAAACAAACTTTTGCCTCTGTACTCAATATATTGATCAACAATTGATTTGGAACGGAAATTTTGAGATATTGATGTCTGGACATAAATGATTATAACTAGGTTCCCATGGTGCCCTGTAGTTGGCAAAATTGAAAGGTATGTAAATCATTTATTGCAACAGATAATCTTTTAAAATACATTGGTATGCATTTTGTTTGCTTGCATATGCTGGTGTGGTACTTGTGGAACTAATCAATACTTTTTATTTGATATGCCAGTATGTTCACTCTTATTTGAAGACACTTGAAGAAACCATGTGTATCACTGCCTATCCCTTGAGAAAGATTTTTTCATATGTATCAGCTTTGCTAGAAGTTTCATTTAATATATATATATTTATATATTCACAAAAATGAATCAGTAGTATCCATAAATAAAGCAAAGATGATACAAAGACCACTTCTGTATCCTCCTCCCCAACAAAAAATTGATATCTAAACAATGTTTTGTAGCAGCAGTTAACAAACAGAGTAAAAACACCCCGGTGCCCATACATTTCTACCAATTGTTTTTTTAGATTGAAATTTTTATTGATAGAAAAGTTACCTGTAGTTTATGATTGAGCTATGTAAAGAGCAAATGTTCCAAAGCGGGTTGTAGATGCCTTTCACTAATTCAAAACATTGGAAGAGATATCACACGATGAGTCAAACCAGCTATTCATGAAGATGAGAATTAATCTCAACAGCAGTTACTTGACAAATACAAAATACAGAATGCCAGATATAAATTTCAAATTATTTCATTTGCATTGCAGAAGACATTTGACAGTATTTTGATATGTTATGTTACAGATGGCTGGTAAAAACAAAGTTACCAGACTGGTTCAGGTGGTAGCAGGGTTTGGAGCAGCTGCTGCTGGTGGATGGGTGATCAGTAGATATATGTTCAAAGATAAAACAAAACACGCCCCTGGTCATGCTGATCAGTTAGAAACTCCTAAGAAGTGGGATTATAACTGGGACAAGTAAGTATTGTTTTAAGATAAACAGGTTTCCAGTTGACATTGTTCGACACCTGGCATTTTGATGCTGAATGTACATTCATTATTCACCCTGATGTAAGAATATTTTTGTGCCTATATTTAAACAATGAATATTTTTCAAATAAAAGACAATACAAATACAAAGCACATGTGCATTAAAAGTATGCATTTTCTTTTGAGTAAAACATCATACATGAATAGATATTTTGCTGGGATTTTAGGAGAGAACCTAAAAGTATGGTAAGACCTCCTAAAAGTGAGAAGGACCAAAAAGAATATGAAAATAATCTGGAAAAAGCAAAACCTACTGCCTCAAGACATCTTTTGTTCATTCGCCATGGTCAGTACAATTTGAAAGGAGAGAAAGACGAGGATAGGATTCTCACAGATTTAGGTATTGCACATTATTCACATTTTTAACAATTTGTTACAAAGATTTTGGTGTTAAATGTTAGTGACCTTTTAATGGAATGTTTTGAGACATTTCATAAACTTATATGTATTGATTCACAGTACAGATGAAAAAATGCCAAACTTTGTATTTGAACTGTTATATGGTTCTTTAAATTTTCACAATAAAGCCCGATTATTTTGATTGAAATTGATTAATTTTTTCTTTTGTTTAATGGTATTTTTGTCCCACTTAGGCAGGAAGCAAGCAGCACTTGTTGGGCAGAGGCTGAAGGAGCTTGACCTTCCTTACAGCCTGTTGGTTTATTCCACCATGGCAAGAGCTACAGAAACTGGCAAGATAGTGCAGAAATTCCTGCCACCAGATATTCCAGTCAATACCTGTAGCTTTATAAGGGAAGGAGCACCCATTCAACCAGAACCACCAGTAGGACATTGGAGGCCAGAGCAAAGTGTAGGTATAATTAATACATGCAATTAGCTGTCAAACTGAAGCTGGATTTGGAGTCATTTGAGCTCAGTTAGTTGTTATTTAGCATCTCAAGTGGACATTGTGATTTGATTTTTAAATCCAACTCTTCTCTCACACATTAAATTGATGGTCATCTAAATATAAATTACGTTTATAGCTTTATTAGTGGTGAGGAATTAAGATAATTAAGACTAGAATACTGTTATTCAAGAAATCCCAGTGAGTAAATATAGCCAAGCAAATATAGGAAATTATTTATGATTTTAAGATTTTCCCTTATTTAGCAGTTCTTTGAAGATGGTGCCAGAATAGAAGCTGCATTTAGGAAATATTTCCATAGAGCAAAACCAAGTCAAGAAAAAGATAGTTATGAAGTTTATGTATGCCATGCAAATGTCATCAGATATTTTGTATGCAGGTGTGTATATATGTGGTCAAGTGTTTATCATAGGATCAGTAGTACTCTGACCATCAAAGAGTAAAGTACGATTTACTACATTTATTTGGAGATTATTTATCAAGTCAATGTGAGCTGTTTCAAACTGGCTTTCACACGTCCTAAACCTTATGGTCTCCTTATTTTGTCTTCAATAATTTAACATGAAAATTGATTAGCAAACATCTTTACATGAGTGGGCTTCATAAAAGTATATGGAGACTTGTCAACCTTCTTCAATCATAAAACAGAAAGCTTGTTTTGCAGCTTTCTAAGTACCTTTTTGACAATTAAGCTGATTTTGTTTTTGTTAAAAAATTGAAAAAAAGTTAATGATTTTCTGTTTTATTTTAAATCATTCAAAACTCTGGAAGAGAAGTGGTATACAATTGAGCAAAAACAAAACTTTAAAGCATTAGCAGTATATATTTTAATAGGGTCTTCTTCTTGTGTTTGTTTTAGAGCTCTGCAGTTTCCGCCAGAGGCATGGTTGAGACTCACACTACATAACTGCAGTATAACCTGGCTTACCATAAGACCAAGTGGACGTGTATCTTTGAAAGGATTAGGAGATTCTGGTCATTTACCACCTGATTGTTTAACCACCAATTGATAATAAATTTTTGAAATTTATATGAAGAAAATTTTGCCAATGAGAGTTTTGTGGTCTACAGTATGACGCACAACTTCTCAGAAGACAGTGTGCCTAAAGTTATTTGCTGCAGCTAGAATAAAGTCTTGGCCAATGCATCAGGGCTAGTTTCACAAAGTAACGAAACAGATCAAGGCTTCCAGCTAACTAAGCTGGGTTTCACAAAAGATTTTACCTTGTTTTTATGGTCTTCTTCAAAGTGCTACAGCAGTGTTTGATGTACTTATTTGTTAAGACTAAAACTTCACTAAGTGTTGAGTATTTCTACAACATTTTATAACAAGTTATTTATATACAAGGAATCCCTAGAGCCTACTCCAGAGCAAACAAATCAAGGAATGGACACATATCCAAAAATTAGGACAGGCATCTTAAGACAGATTTTTGAAAAACAATTACATCTTGGCAACCAATTTATTTTTCTCATTCATTCTGAAACCATGTATTTGTCTTTTCACAATTATTTCTGTCATTTGTCATGAATACATCAATGTTTGTAAAGTAAAACAATTCATATAAATGGTTGATTCTTTATGTAAGAGTCTTATTTTTGATGAATAAAATCTAGAAATGTATAATGAAGGTTTCTTATTTATTTGAACATAATTAAACATTCTGTAGCAAAATATTCATACTGTAACAAGAAAATTCAGACAATGTCATAATGAATGTGATAAAGAACTTTTACTTTTGGAACATGCACATTCACTCATACTCTTTCGCAAACACTCTCGAAATGGGAATATAAATACAAAATCATCATTTGATTGTTTTTTTCTCTGCTTCTAAATCATTTGTGTTATAATATAAACTTCTTCACAATACCTGTAGTAGTAGTAAATTTGAAAAGTTCCAGAAAATTTAATTTGAATTTATCTATTTGATCATTTTTAGTATATTAATTTGTACATTCACTTAAATTTCTTTCAATCTAAAAAAAATGGAAAATGGCAAAGAACATTCATGATAAAAAAGATGTCTTAATAGTTACATTGAACCATTTACATTTACACTAACATTAAATGTTGCACATAAAGTCAAGGAGGTGTAATAAAAATGGCATTTTCTATTCACAACAGCCCTGGTAACTTACCCTAGTTGCAGATGTATAAGTATTTATATACAAGGAATCCCCGGAGTAGTAACTTATCATCATGATTGCATTGAATAATGAAACTGAACAATATGATATGTACATGTACAATTCTTTTTGCCCAAAACATATCTAAACATGTACTTGATACAGACTGGCATCCGCCAAGGTGGACACTTGTACATATCTGCACGTTAGTGTAAATTAAATGGCAGAAATAAGATATATTTTTGAAAGATATAATTTTAACACTTTATATGGCTTCATCATTTAGACAATGCTTCATATTGCCTCCTTTTCATTAAGTATATTATTTTTTGAAGAGGGAGTTCTACATTGGAGAGCCGTGATGTCAGGGAGGCTCCTGGGGGTGTTGAAGGCTGTGGGCATGGCTGGAGGGGCCATCACAGGGGGATGGATGTGGAGTAAATACCTCAGTCCGGTCGTATCAGCTTCTACATTGCCTAGTCCAGACCGGGAGCCTGTGCTAAAGTGGGACTATAACTGGGATAAGTACGTAGGTGTTTTTTTAGGTTCTCCCATTAACACATTATCCTTTCTTTATGCATGTACATTTAGAACAGCATTTTAGTAGTTAAGGGTCTTATGTGTTTGAATGGAGTTCTGGTATGAATCGTATGATGATATTAATATGATTGATATCTTAGTAAGACTGTGTGCGTACATGTAGAACCTGGTCTGTAAGATGGGCATGTATTTGTGTGTTTGGAAGGGGTGGTGGGGGTGAAATACTCCATCTAAAGTCATCTCATAACTGCCTGTTTTGACCGTTTCTATTTGGTCATCCAGCATGATGATGATGTTGTTCTCATCAGCAAGTGAACCAAGTTGGGTTTTAAAATTCAACTACTTATTTTATTTCAGTAGCTACAGCTAGCTCTCTGCCTTCCCTGGGTCGTCTGACTACAAAAACTGAAGTCTCTTATCCATCACATTTCTTTTGTGCCATAACTCATTTTCAGTCTTAATTATCATTTAAAGCTTACCTTCTTAAATTATTTTTTCTGCCAGTTACAGATATGCATATGTATAATGTATGTTACCAAGGACTGTATTTTGCATGTAACTTAATTAGCAAACCATCTATTAATCTATCATTTAATTTTGAAAGCATTTCTTATCATTTAAATTGTTTCAGACGAGAACCAGACACTGGAGGTGGTCCACTTGACAATGACCAAGATAGGTCTTTTGAGCCCAAATTATCATCAAAGAAACCAACTGCTACCAGACATCTCATTCTAATTCGCCATGGCCTCTTTAACCGCGAGGGCAAGTGTGATGACACGCAGAGAGAGCTCACAGAATTAGGTAAATATACTATTTTACTAACTAGACAACTCCCATCTTGTTTCAGACATCAATCACATAATGGTTGTGAAATGGCAAATGAGAAAAAGTGCCAAGTTGGTGCAACAAGACACTTGATCCTTGTCAGACATGGGCAAAACAGGAGAGATGACATGGAAGAAAGAAGAGTACTGAGCTCTGTTGGTAAACTTTATGCACACCTTGCTTACTTTTGAAGATTTGATTGTAAATTTGATTTTGAACTTTAGACTTGGTGGTCTGATGAATTGATGAATAGACATTCAGATTTATTTAAAATATACAGCATTCAATTATTCTGTGATGATATATGTAAAAATGATTAACTAGGTAAGGCTTGGTTTTTTATTGCAAGAAATGGGAAGTGACAATTGGTAAAAGTGTTTTTGCATACCTTTCATTTCCTCTTGTATAGGTAGGGAACAAGCAGAGTTTACTGGCAAGCGCTTGAAATCTCTGAATCTTCCATATACATCCCTGGTGTATTCAACCATGAAGCGGGCCACAGAGACAGCTCAGATAATACTGAAGCATCTAGATCCCAATCTTCCCGTCAAAAGCTGTGACCTCCTGCGTGAAGGTGGAACTGTTCCGCCAGAACCAGCTTTTGGCTACTGGAAAGCTGATCATCTTGTGAGCCATTGACATAAGTTTGATTAAGATATTTAAAAAAAATTGTACCTATGTCGCTAGTACTTCCAAGAATGGGATAATTTTAGATTTTCTTTAAATTAGTGTTTTGTAAGTTTATTTTGTGCAAATTTTTATTTTAAAGCTTAAATTACGTCTATCGTAGCCTTTTTGAGTTATGCTTCCTGGTTCATTGGAAGTTTTCATCTTGTGTACAGATGCTACAAAAAAGAATACAAAAAATAAGTAAAATGTCATGCTGCACAAGTTAAACAAATTTTGTCTCTTCAGAAATACCTTTTCTTTTTGTACCAACTTTTCTGATTGTTTTTAGTATTATCAAGAGGGAGCAAGAATAGAAGCTGCATTTAGACACTACTTCCATAGAGCAGACCCAAGTCAGAAGGAAGATAGTTATGAAATACTAGTGTGTCATGCTAATGTCATTAGATATTTGACCTGCAGGTGGGTAATTACCACTGATTTAGTTTAAAACCTCGGAGTTGGAGTGCTTCATATCAAGTTGCAGAGTAAATATCTGTGCCTTTTGAAATTGTGATTTCAAATGTAATTTGTTTAGACCCAGTGAGCATTGGATTTTTCCATGTTGGATTCTTTGCAAATCACTGAATCAGTTACACTTTAAGAGATAAATGTATATAGGTAGTCCTGCATATTTAATAACATGATGAAATGTCAACCTGAAAAATATATTAGTTCTGATTACACAACACTGCACTTGTGAATTGTTGAATGTTATTCTAGGGGTTTGCAGTTGCCCCCAGAAGTATGGCTGAGGTTCAGGGTCCACCACTGCAGCATGACCCATATCATGATAAAACCCACTGGTCAGGTCACAGCACTGACCATAGGGGAATACAGCCATCTTCCTCCTGACAAACTAGTCGGCTGGGAAGATTATTATTTTAAAGAGCTGCAAAAGGAGCAGTTTATAAAGAAGAATGACTATATAAATGTTTGATTATACTCTTGATTTTAGTGCATAGGAAGATGATTTATTTCATCAAGTCAAGCTTTGGAAAAGTTTTTACAGGAGGTTTTGTTATATATTTTTGTGATTGACTAATGACAGGAATTACAATTTTCAGACGTGATTGGCCATTTTAAGATATTTCAACTAGATAAAGAAAGGATGGGACATGTTGAACTGATGAAATAGAACAGATATTGAGAGTAAAATAGCAATTACTATAAATTTATTTTAATTTAAGACATTCCTTTTAAAGATATTTATATTGGTGCTACTAAAACTAGGTGCTGGAGAATGACAAGAGAATATGAAGTAAGGGTAACATTTTCAAATGCACACAAATCACAGCTGGATACTAAAACTCTCTCTTTAATAATAGCCTAGAAAATATCAACCGACATGAGTGTGAAAACCAAGAAATCGAGGACTTTTTATGAACACTTTGAAAATCATCCATTCTGCCATATATTCCCCTGCTTATGATGGCAGTCAAGTAAGCAGTGGATAAGAATGACTGATGGAATGTATGTGTTTCAGAGCCTTGCAGCTTCCTCCAGAAGTCTGGTTAAGAATGATGCCACACAACTGTTCTCTCACCTGGATCATGATAAAACCTACGGGTCAAGTGACTTTGCTGACATTTGGTGATGCAGGACACCTCCCAGGGGACTTGTTGACAACTATGTGGATAGATTAGTCCTTATAAACATGAGAGAATGCTGGAGACTCTTTTTCACCCTTTCTCCTTCTCATATAACATGTGAACTGCACTTTCTTTTATATACTGACATATCCATGATAGGGATTTCTCCATTATATGCAAAGTGTGCATATAATGAGATAACTGCTCATTTTCAATAACAGTGAAACCTTCAGAATTTTATCAGTTATGGTTAGCAAAGTACGAGAAAATTGTTGAGGACATCTGGACAAACTTTTTTTATGACAAAATCCAAAGTAATGGCCTTTTGATGAATAAGACTGAATTTTCAAAGAAATCATAAAGCAATCTTTGTGCCATAAGTAGATTTAATAAAACGACTGGTCAAATAATTCAAAGGTGTGCATGCAATTTCAGGTTCTTCCATTTCAATATGTAGTTAGGTAAAACAGTATACCTCAGTCTTTACTATATTTAAAGATTTAGTTTCTTAATGTTGATCTTGTCATGGACTATTATTTTTCAGAGTCCTTTTATCTTGATATTTTCATACAGTTTTACTCCATATTAAATGCTCAATGTCAGCAGAATTAACAAAGCAAAACCATATTCTATGTAATTAACAATTTGAAGTATAGTTAATTAAAACACCTAATTACATTTTAGCTAAACAGATATTTTTGTGTTATTACTAATATTGTGAATCGGTGATGTACCAGTATCTTTATATTATAACGCGTTTTCTCAGTTTATGTGCAGTTTATGCTCACTCTTCTGTGCAGGTGTTAGGAAATGATGCAATAAATATTTACAAAGATCAACTTTTCTTGTGAAACAAATTGAAGAAGTTGCCTTTACATTGTAGCATATGACATTTTGTAGGAAATTGCAATGTACAATATCAATGAACTATCTTTTGTATTCATCGTTTGAAATGAAACAAGACAACAACTTGGCTGTTGGGTAGTACAAATTTAATTCAACATGTAACCTGGCCGTTTGCTTCTTTAATAATAAATAGCAACATAATTCACACCCCTCTAATAAAGCCCTCTGACATTAATGACAAATGGTTAGGAATGCTGATAAAAGCTTGTTCATGTATTGTATAGCTCTGATATAAAGCACTGAAACCGTGGCCTTGTTAGAAAATTAAAATGCAACTTTGGAATTTTAATTTGAAACTTCCAGCACTTGTATGCCACTTAAATAATTTAAAACTCAATTAAATGCATACACTGTCGCAAAGATTTTCGATTGAAAAAATTCCTTTACCTCAAAGTATTTATCACATATCACAAAAGTATCCTATACTTCTGCCAATTAGGAACCCTTAATCCATAAAAAATAAATCATCAGGCATTAACTGTTATCATAGTCTCTTCTTGATCAACTTCTCTAACTTTCTTATCCTGCTCACTTCTTGTTCTGGTGTAGCAGGGGTGGTTGCATGATGGGATGCTGTGGGTTCGCCCGTGTGAACAGCAGAGGGTGCAGGGCGTCGAGCTTTGTACATTTCTAACATTGTGTTCTGTTCACTCCTCCGAAGACCCTACAAAAAAAAGTACTTGTATTAAACATGCCATTTAATGGTTAACTACCTCAAATCTTTCACTTAATCCCTCATTAATGAAGCAGCCAACAGTTCACCAATTTCTGCATAAATTACACAAAATAAAATGTAAATAAAGGCTTATGGCTGATATATCCAGAACATTACCTTCATCTCCAATATTTTCTGTAGTTCATTGGCATCTGTATCTACCAGAAGTTTGATGTAATTGTCTACAAATCCTTGTGGTGGATCATGGGGAGACATTACAACCTGCGGAAAATTAATTATGTTGACACCCGTCTAGACATTTTGTAGAGGTGAGGGCCAACATACTGCCCACATTTAAATGGCATAAATAATACTTAAAGGAAATATGTAACAGCAGGCATTGCTATCTTGAAAAATCCCAAGATGTTATAATTCCAGCATTTCTGATTTAAAAGTTAAAAAGATAATTTTTCAACTTGATACTGTACAGTTTTATTGCACCTATTTACCTTTCAATAATGATATTATAAATAACATTATGACAATATGCCAAAATAAAACTCACCTTAAGAAGCATTTCTGCCCTTGTCATACCTTTTACTACGATCTTTGTATAGCTGAAATGATAATAATTCATAACTGTAACAATGTATTCACAGTCATATAAAGACTATATATACATTATACAAAATCAACTATTTCATATTTTTCATATTGAAACAGAAACTCAAAAAAATTGTTGAAGACAGAAACAAATAGGTAATCTTGTTCACAATGGCATATTACTATTCTCATACACTGACAAAATATGCACTTCTAGAACTAGGCCTACCTGGCAGGTGCTTTTCTCAAGACCTGGGAACCTAAAGAAGGTAAATCCTGAAGTACGGTCTTCAAAGAGTGGGTATCCAATAGGAGCTACAATAGACAAATTGTAAAAATTGTTAGTTTCTAAATCCACGTGTGAGTTTTCTTGAAAACCAAAAACAAAAGAAAAATAGAATGTGTGGGTTCTTAGGACAGTTTTATAGTTATTCCTTCAGTCTGATTTAAAAGCCACATCACTGATACAATTTAATGTAGTACAATAAAGTGAAATACTGATCATTATCTCACCTGCTCTGCACCTACTGTGCTTATTGGCTTACACTTAAATAGGTTATTTATGAACCTTGGAATGAAGGAGCTGTAATAAAAAAATATACCAGTTAAGAAATTTTACTTCAATCTCAGAGCATTTTGCAATAAAACACTCACTATCTCACACAGACATAGATGTAGATGTGATTGTAACTCCTTACTGAACATATCAGTGCAAAAACAAACAGTTACCATAATGAAGCAACTTACTTGGCAAATTTGATGCAGAACTGTGTGTAGTATTTCCTGGAGCCAGCCAGGTTGTCTCGTATATTGGGAAGGTTTTGTTTAAGGTGTGATGTAATGCTTGTCACATAGCCACTCTGGTCTCCTACAGCATCCACTGTCTGCCACGCCATCTGGAGGCAATATTGTGAACTAAACATATATATCTTCACTAACGCTGGTGCATAAATATCAAATCATATTTGAATATTTGTGAAATAACCTCTCTGGTGTCTACAACAAACAGTCTGCCGTGCCACCTGAATTAGTATTTTACACCAAACATTCACTAACTCTGGTTTGTAAATATCAAATCATATATAAAAATTGAAAAGACATTTAGGCAATTTGTTCTTTAGACTTGTATAGATCTTAATAGTTAACAGACAAGATATTAATGTGGAAGGCATATGTATGCTCCTTTACAAACCTTGCTCATGGCAACAAGGGCTGGTTCACAGGCACCTTCTAAATCTTGGACAAGTAGTTGTATACAGTGAACTATAACACTGCAAAGAAGAATACTTTGAAATAATATGCAAAAATTTTAGGACCACTTCATGCATTTACTACAACCTAAGCATCTCAGATTATACGCAGTGGCAGGATTAGCAATTTGCAGATATCCCTGGTTTTGGAGTTCCAATACCATGAAAAGTTCATACATATATAAATTTTCAGTTTTAGAGACTATTTTGCATGCATCTACCCCTTCAAACCTCTACTTTCTGATGTAGGTGAATACTAGTAAAAGTCAGCTGTGCCGAATACTAAGGAAGGGGAACAGAAAGTTAATTTTTAAACAGGGCATACTTATGAAACATATCCTGCTCGGCACCAAGTCCTATCTTGCTAGAGAGTGAGGGTTCCACTTTCTCTTGGAGTTTCTCCTCCAACTGCTGTGTGGTCTCCATGCAGTATTCTGCAGTACACAGTATACTGCAGACTACACACTGCTCTGCAGGGGTAAATTTAGTGACCTCTCCCTCCTTCAGTATACTCTGAATTAAGCCACTGGCTGATGTTATACTACTTTGACTAGAAATTCTGGAATAAAAGAACACAGTTTATCTTCATCTAACTGTACATTTTTACTGCAGATGGACAAATACAGCAATGCCTATCACATATTCATTTACACACACACACACACACACACACACACACACACACACACACACACACACACACACACACGTATAAACATAAATTTCTGCCATTCTAAAAGATTTAAATTATTTTTCAAAAAAACAACCTTTAATGCAAAGGTATTTTAGACTGAAGAATAAAATTTCACATACTTGGGTAAATTGTTCATCAAAATTTTCTGTGAATATTCTTTCAAGTATTTTTGGAATGTCTTGGTGAGCCCTAGCATGGGTAGTCCTGTGCTGAGCTGAGAACACTGCACCATACATTTCTTATAGTAAACAAACAGATCTGCACAGCTGGGGAGAATAATGCTGCTTTCATCAGTCTCAACTTTAGGGATGCCATTCTGCTTAAAGTCCTGTTGGAACCTCTCCATAAGTTCTGCCAAGTTTCTAAAGAACATAAAAAGAAAACCATGAGATTGCACTTCTGTGTGATACGACTAGAAGACTGGGGCATGTTTGATGTTTATAAAACCCAAAACCCTAAAAGTGTATTTATTTAAACAACTGGTGGAGAAAGCTTGCAGAAAACAAAAGCAATGTTGGGTTTAGGTATATTAAGACGCATGATTTATGTTGAGCCAGTAATGTCAGATACACAGTATTTGATATAAATGTGTTCACAAATGACATGCAACCAATTCACTCACTTGTCTTGTGATTCAATATAAATATTCAAATGAGGTTCAAAGCACTTGGCTATGATCCCAAAGAAAGGTGACTGCTGAGGTTTAGCAGGCTGGGAGGAGGGAGGGTTGGCTTCTGTTGTTCCTGTGTCACTATCATCTGTTTCAAATGGATTGGTCGATTCCTCGAATGGGTTACTGGCCACTGGTGCTGTAGCCTCAGTTACTGGTTTTGTCTATACCAAAGCAATGAGCACCACCGATTAAAATAATAATGTGTCAAAAATAACCTATATTCTTAGTGAATTTTTAAAACAGACATATCCACATGCTTCCTATATAATTAGTTGATGTTTAGTATATATTTTTAGTCTATATTATGTAACGTTATAGTATCACAAATCACATTTCTTAGAAATATTTATATAAGATTATTAAATCGAAGCAGCATACCTTTTCACCTGTTATAGTAGACCCAGAAAATCGTTTGGCCAACAAAGCCTCAAAATTGGTTGTTCTTTGAATGGCAAACAAAAGTAATTTAACATCTATATCAGTCACTCTTCTGGCCATTATTTTTGACAACTCTTTCCTGCAACAAAAAACGACAACGTTTAAAATAAGTTTCTTTCCCCTGAGGTATTTAAATTAAGTATGTATGCACAGTAAGAAGTGGAAAATTTTTAATTATTTATTCATTTAAAATCCCAAACACAGAAATGAAATGTCTTGATAAATTTCAAATTTGAACAATGTCTGAAAATGGAGAGCATACCTTGTTATTTCACAAAATTCCACAACTATTCTTTCACTGACATCCCAAGAAACTGGGAACAGTCTTCCAAACTTTTCTTCAAATTCTACAAGAGTTCTTTTTATCCAGGCATATCTTCTGTCTATTTTGTCTAACCAAGCAACCTGAAACATTGAAAATGTCTTAAATTCATAGATTAATATCATTATCTATACATCTAAATAAAATGTTCAGTGAAACACTCAACAGCTTGCTTCAGTGTTCAAAATGCCAGTAACACATGTAGCAATGTCCCTAAAAAATATAAAGCCTTAAAAAGAACATGACATGGAATATATCATAATATAACTCCTTATCATAATATTAAGTAATTAAACTTACATCTTGACTTTCTCCAAAAAGCACCAGATATTCAGAAAGCTGAATTTTGACAAACCAGCTGAGTAAATCCCTTTTCACTCTAGGGTCCAAGACGTCTACAACATAGCATGCCTCTGCTAGCATGTTCTGGTTTGTTGGGCCATACTGTGAATAAAAAGATAAAAGAGGTGAACATAACAAATATGTTAGTCAATATTCCTCAGAATACAAATTATTTGAACTAATAAATAAGTGAACATGTAATTACCCTTATCATGACATATAATTAAAAATGTATAAATCAACCCATTGGATTGCTCAAACCAACTTGACTTACCTTAGCAGCTGGTCCCTGAAAAGATTCCTCAAAATCTTGGATGATCTGTTGTCCAGCTTCTGCCTGCAGCTGCTTTACACTGAAATATTATATTAGTATGTGCATTTTAGACTACTGAAAAGCAGCACATGGTAAACAGTATAAAATGTGAAGCTTTAATTTCATAAATAATGGTTTGAGCTTAATAGGAGCAGTATATATACAATTTTTTGATATCTTGATTAATCCATTCAAAACAATTAGCAAAAAATTAAACATAACTGTTACTTATTGTTGTCTCATATAAAACTCTCATGGCAATTTGATCTTACCTATCAGCAAGTTGTTTTATTTGAGGAATGTTGTTATATTTGTGGAAATGCTCCAGTACATTCTGTACTCCTTGCAGTAGATTTGCCACCTCTCCATACTGACGCCTTCTTATCAAATTGCTAATGAGAAGAAATACATCCATAGAGAAAATTTTGATTTTAATCATAGATCATAAAACAGTAGAAAGACAAAAAAAATACAACGAAGACACCTGAATGTCAGAATACATCAATCCATTTATCAAACAATGTACATACAAACAGAAGAACAGTCTGTTAAAAAAATAATAGCTGACTGCTTACCTCAGAGCATCAACTCCTCCTACCAACATATGTAAATGGTTGAGAGTGGTGATAGAGCTGGTCAGGTGTCTTTTAGCATGGTCCAAAGTCTTGATGTCTCTTGTGATCTCCTTGACCTAAGTTTTTGAAAAATCAAATATCAGAAATATCAGAAAAGAAATGTCACTGTCAAATTTAAACATAAATTGCAATGTAGTAAGAAAACATGTCTGTACAAAAGTAATCTTGTTAAGCAATCTATTAATCTCATCAAGTTTTAAATCCAATTAAAATAATTTATATACAAAATTATCTAAATATTTCATATAAAAATTGTAATTATACACATGCCTTAAAATGTATGTTATTTAAACAAGATAAGCAGTACATTTTCTATGTCCTCACCATTTCCTCAGACTTTTCAGCTTTATCTTTGATATCTTTGATTTTGGCAAAGAGCTGCTGTATGGCTTTTTGTGCTTCTTCCAGTGCCTGGCGGCCATCTTCTCCCACATTTGTCTGTCCTCTGACCACAGTCCTTATTTCATCATCGAGTTTCCTACATACAGAATAAAAACATTATTTATCAGGACAAGATGAACTTATTATGTGATATGTATAAATATCTTTTTATTTGTTTACTTATCTTTCTATAAAGTGTATTCATTTATGTAAAATTAAAGGTGTGAAGACCATGTAAATGCACCTATAAAACATTTCAGTGCTAAATGTGTTTATTATTATATTATTATTTGAAAACATCAACTATGCAGTGCTTAACATGCTTAGGCTTCGTTCACATGCAATGTCTATTTTCTATTTTCTATTTTCTATTTTCGNCACACACACACACACACACACACACGTATAAACATAAATTTCTGCCATTCTAAAAGATTTAAATTATTTTTAAAAAAAACAACCTTTAATGCAAAGGTATTTTAGATTGAAGAATAAAATTTCACATACTTGGGTAAATTGTTCATCAAAATTTTCTGTGAATATTCTTTCAAGTATTTTTGGAATGTCTTTGTGAGCCCTAGCATGGGAAGTCCTGTGCTGAGCTGAGAACACTGCACCATACATTTCTTGTAGTAGACAAACAGATCTGCACAGCTGGGGAGAATAATGCTGCTTTCATCAGTCTCAACTTTAGGGATGCCATTCTGCTTAAAGTCCTGTTGGAACCTTTCCATAAGTTCTGCTAAGTTTCTAAAGGACATAAAAAAGATAACCATGACATTACATTTCTGTTTGATACAGCTAGAGAACTGGGGCATCTTTGATGTTTAAAAAATGTATTTAAAGAACTGGTGGAAAAAGCTTGCAGTAAAAAAGCAATGGAGGGCTTAGACATACAAAGAGGCAAGATTCTGTTGAGCCAGTATTTTCATAAACATTTCAGATACACAGTATTTGACATAAATGTGTTCACAAATGACATGCAACCAATTCACTCACTTGTCTTGTGATTCAATATAAATATTCAAATGAGGTTCAAAGCACTTGGCTATGATCCCAAAGAAAGGTGACTGCTGGGGTTTAGCAGGCTGGGAGGAGGGAGGGTTGGCTTCTGTTGTTCCTGTGTCACTATCATCTGTTTCAAATGGATTGGTCGATTCCTCGAATGGGTTACTGGCCACTGGTGCTGTAGCCTCAGTTACTGGCTTAGTCTAAACCAAAGCAATGAGCATCATCGATTAAAATAATAATGTGTCGAAAACAACCTATATTCTTAATGAATTTTTAAAACAGACATATCCACATGTTTCCTATATAATTAGTTGATATTTAGTTTATAATTTTAGTCTATATTATGTAACATTATAGTATCACAAATAATATTTCATAGAAATATTTATACAAGATTATTAAATCACAGCATCATACCTTTTCACCAGTTATAGTAGACCCAGAAAATCTTTTGGCCAACAAAGCCTCAAAATTGGTTGTTCTTTGAATGGCAAACAAAAGTAATTTAACATCTATATCAGTCACTCTTCTGGCCATTATTTTTGACAACTCCTTCCTGCAACAAAAAAATGACAAAGTTTAAAATAAGTTTATTTCCACTGAGGTATTAAAATTATGTATGCACAGTAGGGATGGAAATTTTTTAATTGTTCATTCATTTTATAATCCCAAACACAGAAATGAAATGTCTTGATAAGTTTCAGATTCAAACACTGTCTGAAAATGGAGAGCATACCTTGTTATTTCACAAAATTCCACAACTATTCTTTCACTGACATCCCAAGAAACTGGGAACAGTCTTCCAAACTTTTCTTCAAATTCTACAAGAGTTCTTTTTATCCAGGCATATCTTCTGTCTATTTTGTCTAACCAAGCAACCTGAAACATTAGAAATATCTCATATATTAAGATTGCTATCTATATATCTAAATAAAACATTCAACTCGCCAGCTTTGTTTTTCAAAATACCAGTAACACATGCAGCTTTGTCCCTAAAAGATATAAAGCCTAAAAAAATAACATGGAATACACTATAATATAAAACTCTATATCATATAACATTAAATAAATAAACTTACATCTTGACTTTCTCCAAAAAGCACCAGATATTCAGAAAGTTGAATTTTGACAAACCAGCTGAGTAAATCCCTTTTCACTCTAGGGTCCAAGACGTCTACAACATAGCATGCCTCTGCTAGCATGTTCTGGTTTGTTGGGCCATACTGTGAATAAAGAGATAAAAGAGGTGAACATAACAAATATGTTAGTCAATATTCCTCAGAATACAAATTATTTGAACTAATAAATAAGTGAACATGTAATTACCCTTATCATGACATAATTAAAAATGTATAAATCAACCCATTTAATTGCTCAAACCAACTTGACTTACCTTAGCAGCTGGTCCCTGAAAAGATTCCTCAAAATCTTGGATGATCTGTTGTCCAGCTTCTGCCTGCAGCTGCTTTACACTGAAATATTATATTAGTATGTGCATTTTAGACTACTGAAAAGCAGCACATGGTAAACAGTATAAAAATGTGAAGCTTTAATTTCATAAATAATGGTTTGAGCTTAATAGGAGCAGTATATATACAATTTTTTGATATCTTGATTAATCCATTCAAAACAATTGGCAAAAAATTAAACATAACTGTTACTTATTGTTGTCTCATATAAAATTCTCATGGCAATTTGATCTTACCTATCAGCAAGTTGTTTTATTTGAGGAATGTTGTTATATTTGTGGAAATGCTCCAGTACATTCTGTACTCCTTGCAGTAGATTTGCCACCTCTCCATACTGACGCCTTCTTATCAAATTGCTAATGAGAAGAAATACATCCATAGAGAAAAATTTGATTTTAATCATAGATCATGAAACAGTAGAAAGACCAAAAAAAATACAACGAAGACACCTGAATGTCACAATACATCAATCCATTTATCAAACAATGTACATACAAACAGAAGAACAGTCTGTTAAAAAATAATAGCTGACTGCTTACCTCAGAGCATCAACTCCTCCTACCAACATATGTAAATGGTTGAGAGTGGTGATAGAGCTGGTCAGGTGTCTTTTAGCATGGTCCAAAGTCTTGATGTCTCTTGTGATCTCCTTGACCTAAGTTTTTTTAACATCAGAGGAGGAATATGTCACTGACATAAATTTAAAACACAAATTACAATATCCTAAGAAAACATGTCTGTACAAAGGTGATCTTTTTAAGCAATCTATTAAACTCATTAAGTTTCAAATCCAATTAAAAATAATTTATATACATATTAATCTAAATATTTCATTTAAGAATTGTAATTAAACACATGCCTTAAAATGTATGTTATTTAAACAAGATTAGCAATAAATTTTTTATGTCCTCACCATTTCCTCAGACTTTTCAGCTTTATCTTTGATATCTTTGATTTTGGCAAAGAGCTGCTGTATTGCCTTTTGTGCTTCTTCCAGTGCCTGGCGACCATCTTCTCCCACATTTGTCTGTCCTCTGACCACAGTCCTTATTTCATCATCGAGTTTCCTACACACAGAATAAAAATATTTTCTATCAGGACAAGATAAACTTATTTTGTGATATGCATAAATATATTTTTTTTTGTTTACTTATCTTTCTATAAAGTGTAAACATTTATGTAAAATTAAAGGTGTAAAGACCATGTAAATGCAACTATAAAACATTTCAGTGCTAAATGTGTTTATTATTATTATTTGAAAACATCAACTACGCAGTGCTTAACATGCTTAGTCTCTTACTGAATGACAGCCAATGATAATGATGAGAAATATACAAAATAACATTGTATGAATATACATTATACAATTATACATTATAATTCAAACACAATTACTGTAACAACAGATATTTCCACTAATCTTGCTCAATATATACTTATGAAAAAAAAAAACAGACTGGACATACCGAATTTTCAAGTGAATCCTGCCTACCACATCATCAATATTTGCCAAAGACTGCTCAGTAGGGAATAATGTATTGATATACTCTACTGGATTAAAGTCTGGACGATCTAGTGGGTCTGTACTTGGGAGCACCTGTTAGAAATATGATAAATTTTTTTATTAGTAATTTTTTTTTAATAAATCAAATGGCAGTCTAAACAATAAGCAAAGATGTATAACGAATATTTTTTGGAAAATAAAAAAGTTGGTGAGGAGTAGGTTCCTATCCATAATTTGTTAAACAAGTGTAAGGAAAACTTAAGATACATGTACAGACTGTATTTTCATAGCCAATACACATTTGATGCTGTGTGTGTGTGTGTGTGCGTGTGTGTGTGTAAGTGCATCACTGTGTGAGGAAGTTGGAGGTGTATGTACTTGAATGTTACATGTATCATGTTGAGGAGGTCTGTCAGCATTCTAGCACTGCACTCTTGTCACTCGCCTATACGTGGACATGGTAAGCCTCAATCGTTATATATCTTTATTCTTAATGTATGGAATACAATGCAATATAATTTTAAGCTTACATGGACAGATAACCCTCCCCCTTGCCTATTACTGCCCCACTATTGGAAGCAGCTACAATGCCGGTGGGCTGTGATAGAGATGGGGGCCGGGGGGGGGGGGGGGGGCAAAAAAAAAAAAA